TCTGCTGTAGCATGGAATAAGCAGGGCACTGGGTGCTCTCACTGCCACACAGGTTGGCTCCACCTTGCCATTTGAGGGACAGAAAGGAGACTTCGCTGTAAGTGCATTCGTGAACCTCAACCTTCCTTGGCCAACTTCACATGTGACTGGCATTCACTACCACCCATCTGACCAGAAGCCCTACGAGCCTTCCCACCTCCATAAGCTAACTAGACCCTCAGTTGCTGCAGCTGCTGATTGTAAAAGCCAACCATTACCTCTGAGGATTTTGTGATCTTTCATGCAAGACCACAAGTCCTTTACTTTCACCTATTAACAACCAGTCGCACTAAAGCCCTGTTTAGAGCTGTAGCTGTGAGACTGTACCTGCCAGAGCAGCACAGCAAGTCTTTCCTCTGGAGGTATATCCTGATTGCAATAGTGATTGCCAAGAAGGCCTCCAGTATTGCAAGCTCACTACATACATAACTTCTAGGCACAAATTACATTTATATCTTCACCTACTTCAGTGCCAGCCATCAGACTGTAATTAAATTACACGTAGCCTGGGAGCCTCGGTCAGGGGCTGGAAGACAAGCGCACGAGGCATGGTGCAAAGGAGCACTGAGCACATTCCTAGTTTAAGCAAGTAAGGCTTTCCTCCATGAACAGAAGTTGTTTCCAGCCATAGTTACTCCTCCATGTGCTTACAAACCCGCTATACTGCCCCCAAGCCCTTCAAAGCTGGAGATGGGGAGAGCGTGGAGTTCCCTCCAGCCCTTGGGCTCTGCCGGCCAGGCTGCGGCAGCTGCACGCCCTCGGTAACCCAAGCAGTGAATAGCGGCACAAAAGCTGCCTATTTCTTTGCAGAGCCATCTGTTCGGGTTTCGTTCCGCACAACTCCACTGGCTTCCAGGAGATGCTGAGGTCACACACGCAGTGAGGCTCTTGGTCTGCTGCCACTCCAAGCAAGCATCCCCGTACGGGGAGAGGGCACGGCTGGGGGCAGCCTCTGCCAGCCTCCTCCACCCTAACCACACAGCCGGCTGGGTCAGGAAGCTCCCTGTGCTGAAAACTAATCACTTGGCCAGTGTTAGCTTTCAGCTGGAACAGCCCCCGCTCTGACAAGCACAGAGGTACGAGGGCAGGCGCCAAAGCAGG